GAGATCACATCTCTGGCATCCAACTCATGCTGCCCACTGTCAGGGCTACCATCCTAATTCAAACCCCACATTATCTCTTCCTTGGATTATCATAATAGCCTCCCAATTGGTCTCTTTACCTCCAGGTTCTTCTCTCTCCAATCTGTCCTCTATAATCAGAGGTGTCAAACTCAGCCAGCAAAACTCAGATGCCATAGCAAACAGACTAAGATACAATTGGGAAATATTTGACAAAATAAATAAAAATACAATAGAAAAAAGATAATGTTCATATGTGGTTTTCTAAGTCAATGTGACAACTCTAGAGATTCTTATATAGTATAGTGGCCCCCATCTTTGTTTAAGCTTGGCATCAGGGGTCTACACAGCAAATTGCCAAAAAACAAGTCTGAACATGACACTCACCTGCTCAAGGAGTTTTGGTGGCTCCCTATTGCTTCAAGGATATAATACAAACTTCTCATTTTAGACTTTGAAGTGCTTCATGATTTGGCTTCACCATATCATCCTAGTATTTTCACATTACTCCCCAACATGTTTCCTTGAATTCTAGCAGATTGACCTGTTTACTATTCACTATACATGGTATTTCTTTTCCCATAACCATGCATTTTCACGAGTTGTGCTCAATGTCTGTTCAAAACCTTAGCTAAATTCAGGGCTCAGCTCAGGTACTACTTCCTTCAAAAGAACTTTTTTGGTTCCTTCCTCCCCATTTTAAAGGCTTTCCCTAGCCCCCAAGTCAATTTGTATTTACCTTACATGTATGAAGTATTCCTTTCATTTATTCACTTGTTTTTCAATCATGTCCTACTTTTCATTACCTATTTGGGGTTTTCTCGGCAAAGATACTGGAGTGTTTTGTCATTTCATTCTCTGGCTCATTTTGCGGATGAGGAAACTGAGGTCAATAGGATTAAGTGACTTGTCCAAGGTCACACAGCTGGGAATTGTCTACACTGGGTTTGAACTCAGGAGATGAGTCTTCCAGACTCCAGGCCCATCACTCTATCCATTGTGTCACCTAACTGCCCCCATGAAGTATTACATTGTATTTACTTTCATATGTTACTTTGTATTTATTTTGCATGTAATTTGTATTTACTAATCTGCATACATATTGTATCCCTCATAGAATGTAAGATCCTTGAGGACAGGCAGGGGTTGTTCCATTATTGTCTTTGCATCCCCAGCCCCTGATATAATTCTTGGTATGTAGTAGGTGCTTAGGAAATATTTGTTGGATTGGATCCAACTGAATTGAGATTCTAAACCCTCTTGCACTTTAGATTAAGAAGGCGGGAAGCCAGAATTGTCCTGGGTGTTATATTTCAAAGTGCAAGAATGGTTTCTTGCAGAAGAAAAGCACTGATATTGAGTAGAAGAGCTTGTCTCTGTGAGTTTGGCTTCCTCTCTCCTCCCCTCATCTTTTTTTTAAAGCAGAGTTATTGAGATTTCTTCTCTGTCACCATGGCACTGACCTGTTCTAAATCACTGTCTCAGCTGCTCCAGGATGTGGATGCAGAGTCAACCTTAATTAGAAGCCGTTCACATACGGTCAAGAGCAAGTGATATTCCCACCAACTGAGGACCCCAAAGGCAACACAAATAATAGTGAGAAATAGTTGGGGATTTGCGTTTTATAGAATTTGTAGCAAACAGGGAGCCAGTTCTGGGCCCATAAAAAGTGTGATTTAGGCAGGAGCTTTTAGGTTTTGTTAAATCCAAGATTTTCCTCCTTCTCTCCTCTTCTCTTTTTCTTGTTTCCCCCTTTCTTCTTCTCTTCTTTCTTGTTTTCCTCTTTCCCTTTCTTCCTACCTTCTTTCTCTCTTTCTTCCTCTTGCCCTGCCTCCTCTTCCACTTATCTTCATTTTCTTCCCTTGGCTCTCTTGTCCTATTCCTCCTCTCCTTCTCCATCTTCTCCTTTTCCATCCTCCTTTCTCTAGCCACTCTTCTTCTCCCCCCTCCTTTCTCCTTTCCTTTTTTCCCTTTCTTCCTCTCCTCCTTCCTTCCTTCCCCTCTCCTTCTTCCTCTTGTCCTGCCCCCTCTTCCACTCATCTTTCTCCCTGCCTCACTCTCCCCTTCCTTTTCTTCATCTCCTTCCCCATATTTCTCTTGCCCATCCCCCCTTTTCAGCCAAAAATGACAATCTCTTTCCTCAACTAGCTTACATTCCACTGGGAATACATGCACACAAATAAGTAAATGTGGAATCCAGTCCTTATCCCTATCCCTTTGTTACAATACCATTGTAAATGATTGAACCTTTGGATTCTACCATAGAGTCATCCATGAAGTCCCTTCTGTGGAGAAGTTAATCTATTGATCATTCCCCTCCCCCTCTGGGTCGATCTGAGCTGTCTTGATTCATAGTGAGTGTAGACTGGCCAGGGCAATCCCAGATCACACCAGGTTTCACACCTGTCCACCTTGACCATCTCCCCATCCAACTTGCCCCTCAGAACATGCCTTTGCTCTCACTTACCAACCCCCCCGCCTGCTGTAAGTACTTTCCTCTTTTTAGCTTGGTTACAATAATCACATCAACATTATCATGGCGCCTGGAAAGAGCGTCAGTCTACTGCCCTTTGGGTCAGTTCAACATCCCTGTGATTCTCCTTATACAAACTTCCTGCTCTGGCCATTACAACCCTATGTACGTTGCCTTCTCCTGTGAGAATGCAGTATCCTTGAGAGCGGGGACTATCTCCATTTTGTGTTAAGTGCTAGGCACACAGTGGATACTTAATAAATGCCTTTTCATTCAACCAGAGACCTCACATCTCCTGACTGTTACAACTCCTTGGTGCCATCCCCTCTAGTGAAATGGAAAGGCTCATAGGATCATAGATTTAGAGCCAGAAGTGACCTTGAAGGCCATCTAGTTCAATTTCCTCACTTTTGACAGATAAGGAAACTGAGGACCAAATGACTTACAAGATCACCCAGGCAGTAAGTGTCAGAGGCAGAAAGAACCCACTGAAGCCACAGGCAAGGCTTTTTCCACCATGCCACATTGCCCACTTAAGGGCTATTAGGAAGCAGTGGCAAGACCATGGGATTGGGAATAGGAAGACGCTAATGCTAGTCCAGGCGTCTCTACTTATTGGCTGGTTAACCTTGGGTAAATCACATCATCTCTCAGAGCCTGGGTTTCCTTGCCAAAAAACAGGAATAAAAATGTTTGCATTTTCTAATTCTTAGTGTTATGAGGAAAAATGCCACAATGAAAAATTAATTGACATTACACTGTGAGGTCCTTGAGGGGAGGGACTGTCTTTTTATCTTTCTGTGTATCCTCAGTTCTTGGCACAGTGCCTGGCATACAGTAGGTGATTAATAAATGCTTATTGATTGATAATTAATTATAATGTAGGTCTTTTAGTACTACATAAATTTGAGTGGTTATTGGCATCTTGCCAAACTACCTGCCCACCTCCCTGAACTTTCTCTGGGGAATCTTAGGATCGTAGACCTAGAGATGAAAGGGGCGTCAGAGGCCTACTAATCCAACTCCCTCATTTTATAGTTGGAGAAACTGAGACCCAGAGAATGTAAGTGACGACCCCAAGCTTATACAGGTCAAAAGACAGAGGCAGGATGGCCTGGGGCAAAATTAGATTTTGCCCACCTGCCTCATCTCCCAGTCCCCCACATTCTATCAAGTATTTGCTACCCTCAACCCTTAGCTTTCTAGAAAGTTCAACCATAACATTCTACCCAGGCTTGACTTCCCCAAGAAAGCACACCGTGAAACAGACCTTCTTCTTCAACTTTCACTCCAGGATCTGGGAAAGTGACTGCTGCCTCCTCCTCATGGGGTGGTGGGAAGGGCACAGAATTTGGAGTCAATAGCTGTGGATTCAAATTCCGGCTCTTCCACTGACTAATTCTGTAACCTCAGCCAAGTCCTGATGCACTTCTCAAAATATTTGGGGAAACCAATTAATACAGAGTTCTTACATACAGCTCTGTAATGACATGGGGCATGTGCTCTGCAAACTTTAGAAGAACATTTGTACGGTGACTTAAGGTCTGTGAAGTACTTTTCACACATTATTTTACTTAAGGCACTTAGGTGGTACAGTCAATAGAACATTGGGCCTGGAGTCAAGGAGACTTGAACTCAGATGTGACCTGACTGTGTGACCCTGAGCAAGTCACTCAACTGCTGTTTGCCTCAGTTTCCTCAGTGTAAAAGGGGGATGATAGCAGCATTTAACCTCACAGGGTTGTTGTAAGGATCACATGAGATATTTGTAAAAATATATTGTTCAGTTGTGTCCAACTCTTTATGACCTTGTTTGGATTTTTTATTTTGGCAAAGGTACTGGAGTGGTTTGCCATTTCCTTCTCCAGCTCATTTTACAGATGAGGAAACTGAGTCACACAGGGTGAAGTGACTTGTCCAAGGTCACACAGCTAGTAAATGTCTGAGATCAGATTTGCTGTTTTCTTGGCAGAGATGCTGGAATGCTTTGCCATTTCCTTCTCCAGCTCATTTTACAGATGAGGAAACGGAGGCAAACAGGGTGAAGTGACTTGCCCAGGGTCACACAGCTAGAAAGTGTCAGAGGCTGGATTTGAACTCAGGTCTTCTTGACATCAGGCCCAATATTCTATTCACTGTACCACCCAGTTGCCCCTAAAAGCACATTAATAGGTGCTATATACATGCTTATTCCTCCCTTCCTTAAATTATATATAATTCTGAGGAATAGAAACTATAGATATTATCAACTTTATTTTACAAATGAGGAAAATGAGGCCCAGAGTGGTTAAGTGATTTGTCCAATGTCATATAGCTAGTATTTTTTCAGGAGTATGATTTGAACTCAGAGCATTACTCTATCTATTACCTCTACATTGCCTCTCATTTAGACCATACTGTCAATTTCAGTCATTATTATTATCCCAACCACGTCTCCCTTTACCCACCCAACTGGCTTCTTAAAACCTGTACAAAAGATATCTCACGGGACCATTTCCTTCTCTCCTAGGAGCATGAATTGAAGAATGCTGCACAAGGGAAGAGTCGCCTGAGACTTCAGTATGCTAACCTTTCCCACAAGGCACTGCAGTATGAGCAGGTAACCATGTGCATTCACTGACCTGACCCGGGGGGAAATCACTCAACATAGCTTTGCTTATAGATAGACATGAGGTCCAGTGGTCAGGTCATTACAGGAATTCTAAAAAAAAAATTAATGCTATTATTTTTCAATCAAAAAAATTCAGTTTCTTTCCCTCCTACCTCCACTTCTTATATTGAGAAAAATAAAAACAAAAACAAAACCCTTGTAACAAAAATGCACAGTTGAACAAAACTCCCACGTTGGCCACATGTGTATGTGTATATATCTATCTTTATCTCATATATATCTATGCATGTATAAACACATAGATAATGAGACTATATATATATAATGAGACATACTTAAATACATATGCATATACATATATACACACATATATATGTATATGTGTGTGTGTATCTATCTATATCTATCTATCTACCTATCTATCTACCTACCTACCTACCTATCTATCTATCTATCATCTATCTATCTATCTATCTATCTATCTATCTATCTATCTGTCTGTCTGTCTGTCTGTCTGTCTGTCTGTCTGTCTGTCTATCTATCTATCTATCTATACACACACATACATATCTAATGTCTCATTCTACATCATGAGTCCATCACCTCTCTCTCAGGTTGCGGGTAACATGTTTCATCATGGGTTCTCTGGAATTGTAGTTGATCTTTGTGTCGGAGGTCTTAAATGTTTCTAAGTTGTTTGTTTTTTTTTAAATGTTACTGTAGAAATTGTTTACTTTGTTTTGCACATTTCATTCTGCATCAGTTCAAAGCAATCTTCTAAGGTTTCTCTGATATCATCATCTTCATCTGTCTCACAGCATGATGTAATCCTATTACATGCATATACAATAATTTGTTTAGCTATTCCTTAGTTGATAGGCGGCCTCTTTAATTTCCAATTCTAAAATACCACAGCAAGAGCTGCTATAAATATTTTTGTACATATGGAGCCATTTCATCTTTCTTTGCTCTCCTTGATGGATAGCCCTAGTAATAGTATCAGTGGGTAAAAGAGTGGGCACAGCTTAGTGACTCTTGGTGCAAAATCACAAATTGCTTCCCAGAATGGCTAGACCAGTTCACAGTTCAACCAAAATGTGTTGGTTTTCCTACAACCCCTCCCATTTTGTGATTTTCTGTTTTGTTTTGTTTTCTTTTGGCCAACTTTGTCAATTTTATAGGTGAGAGGTTGCATTTCTCTAATTATTACTGATTCTGGAGTATTTTTTTCCTATGGCTATTGATATCTTGGATTTTTTTCCTCTGAAAACTCCTTGTTGTTATCCTTTGACTATTTATCATTTGGGAAATACCTCTTATTCTTATAAATTTGAATCAATTTCCTAAATACCTTGGAAAAGAGACCTTTATCAATGAAATACACTACAAAGATTTTGCTTCTCAATTACCTGCTTCCTTTTTCATTTTAAATGTCTTCATCTTGTTGGTGCAAAAACTTTTCAGTTTCATGTTATCAATTTACTTCTATTCCTGTTCTCTTCTTCTCTTTCCCCTGTCCAGAGTCTATCACAAGTTCTTTCTCTTTTGTTCTTTCCTTTTAAACACTTCTCTGCAATCTACCCCTCTATGAGTAGAGTTTGTTTTGCTTAGGAAAAATACCTCCATGAATCTACCCTTCCCTCTTATTCTTCATTTCCTACTCCCCTTTCTTTCCTGTTTGCCTGTTGAGTGAAATGTATTCCTCTACCCCTGTGTGTGTGTGTGTGTGTGTGTGTGTGTGTGTGTGTGTGCATGTGTGGTGTTCTTCCCTCTTTGACCATTTCAGATAAAAGTGAGGTTCAAATGTTCATAAGGAAAAACAGGTAGTACAGTGGGTAGCGCTCTGGACTTAAAAGTCAGAAAGACCCGAGTCCAAATCTGGCCGAAGACACTTATTAGTTGTATGATCCTGGGAAGGTCACTTAAGTGCTGTCTGCCTCAGTTTCCTCATCTGTAAAATGAGGATAATAATAGCACCTACCTCCCAGGGTTGTTGACCTTGACTAAATCCCTTGCCTTCTCTGGTTCTCTGCAAAACAAAAGGGCTGATCCCAATATTTTTCTAAAAATATTAAGTACCTATTCTGTGCAAAATAGTCAACAGTGATAAACAGACAAAAATCAGTCCTTGACCTCAAAGAACTTACATTTTTCCAGATGGATACAACATGTGCACAGATAAGTTGATACAAGCTAATTTCAGGAGGGAAAGAATTCTAACCACCGGAAGGACCAGGAAAGGCTGACCATTAAGACCTGGCACCTGGGATGGGTTGTGAAGGAAGCTAAGAGTTCTAAGAGGTGCTGATATGATAGTGAATGCTTCAGGAACAGCCTATGTGATAAGTGTTATAGCAGAAAGAGCATGTCAGACAGAGAAGACTTGGGTTCAAATCCTGTCTCTGTCTCTTGTTAATGGTGTGACCATGGGCAAATACCTATTTCTCGTTTGTAAAAAGAGGGGGGTCAGACGAGGTGGACACTGAAGTTCCTTTCCGTTCTAAATCTATGCTCCTATAAATATAGAATTTGGGAAGCAGCTAGGAAAAGCTAGTTTGGACAGAATATAGAATGCTTAGGGATTGAGGAGTGGGGAGAGGGTACTGTGGGGAAAAAAACAAACTAGAAAGGTAAGGGGAACTAGGTTGTGGAGAGCTTTAAGTTCCAGGCTGAAGAGACTATGTTTCATCCTGGAGGCAACAGGGATCCACTGAAAGTTTCTGAGTGAGATTCAAGCCTGTTCCTTAAGAAGCATTTTGGCAGCTGTGTGGACAGTGGATTCAAGAACTATGTAACAGTAATATCCACTAGATTTAGTACTTAGGACATCATTACTGACATTGTAGAGAGAAAGCAGTTTCAGCTGAGTGATGGGGTGAGAAGCCAGATTGCAAGGGATTGAGAAGTGAGTGAGTGGGAGGACAGCAGAAAGCAGACGAGTTCATCAGGGGACACATGCAAGCAGGGCAGTGCTGGAACCACCGTGTTAAATTTGAAACAGACAAAAGCGATAACAGAAAGCAGTATGTAGGAGGTGAGGCAATGAAGCCAACACATGTATGTATGTTTTTCTAGGAGTTTGGCCTTGAAAAAATGTAGGATGAGAGCCTGTGGATAAATGAAGATAATAGTAAGGTCAATCAAAGGGTGTGTGTGTGTGTGCGTGTGTGTGTGTGCGCGCGCGCGCTAAGGTTGGGGGGAACCAATCATGTTTGTAGGCAACAAGGAAGGATACTGGAGATATTGGGGGGGGAAGAGGAGGAGAGGTGGAAAAAAAAGAGGAGGGGCAGGCAGAGGAGGGGAGGGTAGAAGGGAGGAAAGAAGGAGAGAAGAATGGAGGAGAGGAAAAGAGAAGCAAACAAATAAAGAATAGAAGGTTATAAGGCCTGGAACAGAGAAGTAGTTTAGTATACATGGCTTTTATTTTTCTCAGTAAAGTAGGAATGAAGTTCTACACTGAGGAGGATGGAGGGATCGAGGGCTTCAAGAGAGACGAGAAGTTTGAAATTGATGCTATAGTTTGTGTCTTATTGGTCTCAAAGATCCTCTAAGATTCTCTGTGCCCTGTAGGAGCCAAGCATGGAATGTTACCTTTGTGGAATACTTAGTGATCCAGTTGATTATCTAGCAAAAAAAATTTTTAAGGGTTTTTAAAAAAAAAATATTATGCTACAAAAAATCAGCTAGGTGCTGCAGTGGATAGAACATGGGACCTGGAGTCAGGAAGATTCTTTTTCCTGAGTTCAAATCCAGCCTCAGACATTTTCTAACTGTGTGACCCTGGTCAAGTCACTTAACCCTGTTTGCCTCAGTTTTCTCATCTGTAAAATGAGCTGGAGAAGGAAATGGCAAACCACTCCAGTATCTTTGCCAAGAAAACCCCAAATGGCATCATGAAGAGTCAGACAAAACTGAAAAATGACTAAACAATGTAAAAAGTCATACAGTTTTTGGGGTTGGGATAATTTTTTTCTTTTTTCATTTTTTTTGGTCATCTCTGATCATATACTCTTCTTCTATTAAACTATTTTGCATTAACATGTCAGCCTTCCTAGGGGTATTTCACACAACCCCAAATCACAGATACTATAAGGGAGCTCAGAAGTCGTCTAGTCCAACTAGTGGCTAAGAACCCCTTCCATGACACCCTCAACGAGTGCTGTACTTGAACCCTCCAGTAAAAGGGATTCCATCACTTCATAGGGCAACCCATTTCATTTTTGGACAAGGCTGAGCATAGTCTTAAACAAAAGGAATGGTGGAATTGCAGTTGTCAGAGACAGGCTGATACATTTGAGGGAGGAATTTGATATGCCCCCATTCCTTATAAAATACTTTGAATAGGCAAAATATCCTGCCAAAATAAACTCTAGACTAGACAGTGAAGCTGGCTCATCTTGCCTTTGCTTTTTGGATGTATAGCATTTGAATCTGATCATGCCCTCCCTCCTAGAACTATCTTGTATTCATTCTATATATGTATGTGTGTTATGTATGCATATATATTTATATATGTACATATGTGTATATAGCATATATATCTTTTATGTATATATTCTGTCTCCTCTATTAGACTATAAGCTCTTTGAGGGAAGGTACTATTTCACTATTGTCTTTATATTGTTAGCATTTAACACAGTGCCTGGCATTTGGGCTGCGATCAACAAATGTTTGTTGATTGCAATGGAGGGAGAACAGTCAGTACATAGAGAAGAAATACTGCACATATCAAGTTTAAGGATGATGGAGGAAATCAGTGTAGAGATGAGAATAATAGAATGTAAGCTCCTTGAGGGTAGGGACTAGTTTATGATTTCTGCCATTGAATCTCCAGTGCCCAGCACAGAGCTTAGTACATAAAAAGAGATCAGTAAGTGCTTATAAGATTGTTGCTTGCTAATTTGATTATAATCACAGATCACAATTTTTATTTTTATTCTTTTATCCCTGTAATCGCACATTTTAAAAATAAAAACTGTTTTGTTCAA